TTTTATTATAATATATATATATATATATATATATATATATATATCGGTTTAGTTAGGGTTTGATTTGACTTTTTTTCTTCTAATACCAAACTAAATCAAGTATGGTCGGTTTTTTTTCAACCACCAAACCAAACTACAATTCGATTTTTTTTAATTTGATTTGGTTCGTGAATTCGGTTTGAGTTGTACACACTTACTTGTATATATCGTGATTAAGGGTTTGTTTGGAAAGCAACTTGATAATTGGAATTGGTACAATTATTAGGAGAGTTACTATATCAGTCTAGTAATTACACTGACATGTTTAGTTGCTACAATGTTATTACATGTTCTCTTTGGCTACACAATTGAAATTAGAAATTATAATAAATTTTAAAAATAAAAAATAATTATTTAAAATTTATTCTAGACAACTAAGAAACTTTATAAATGACATTAAATAAAATTTTAAGGTGTATATTCTTTTTGAAAGTATATTAATTAATAAATATATTTTTTGTAACTAATATTATGAAAAAGTAATTTATTTATATTTTTTCAAATTAGTATATTTCAATTGAATTGATCTTAACAACTAAAAATACGAAGTTTCTACGAATATCTAAAATGCATGTTTGATAAAAAGAATAATATATAAATAAAATGTCAAAATTAATAAATGTTTGACAAAAATATAATCTACCAAGTTTAATTTAAAAATGGCGTGCAATTTAAATTCAATATTACTAAAACAAATGAAACTGAAAAATATAACATAAGTTATGAATTCAAAACAAAAAATTAACAATATTCTTATACTCATTCTGTCCCATTTTATGTGGCACTTTTTGCATTTCGACATTCAAACAAGTATATCTTTTTGACTGTAAGTTTTTCATAGATCCTTTTAACATTTTTAATTATCAATTATTGTGACTTATAGTACTATTTACGTAGCTTATAAAAATATAAATTTTATTTTTAAAAATTTGAAGATTCCATGCGCAAATGTCCGGTCAAAGTTAAACTGTTTGACTCTCGAAAAACAAAAAGTGCCACATAAATTGGGATAGAACTTTACTTAACAATAAATTCTGTTTTAATTAAAAAAATTAGAATACTAATAAAAGTATGCTAATAAGAAAATAAGCATGTCATAGAGAAATAGATAATACGAAAAAATTACGTACAATCACGTAAAGTAAAATTGAGACCAAGAAGTAAAAGAAATATAATAATATAAAATAAAAAATAAACTTTTATAATTTTTTAGAATAATAAAAATAAAAAAAGAACTTAAAGTAATAGAAGTAAAAAAAATAAATTAAAAGTTAATCAGGTGGGTACTTACATCATGTAATTATCAACAATTTACAATATTTATCTGTGAATTGTAGAGTGCAATTAACCTATGTTATTACACTAATTACCTGTTGATCAAGTAATTACTTGTCCTTCGAAACAAAATAAGACAATATAATTACACCAATTACCAGTGTGCCCTTTCAAACAGGCCCTAAATATTTTTTTAAAGATTGAAATTCATTAAATGATTCACTTTAATCCTCAATCTTGTATATTTTTTTCTTAATTAAAATTATATTTTCGATAAGTTAAAAAAAATATATCATGATGTTTTAATTATTTCTTTAGTTTTCTTAAGAATCTTCTATAGTCAATCACTTAGCATGCATTTACCTGCACCTCGTCTTCATATGTCCACGTAACTTCAATTTTATTTTCATTTTGCTTATCACATTAGCCTCTTCCATAATGTCGTATATAATGTTGTTCATAATCACATCTTTTTTATATATGTTTCACATATTCAGATAAGCATTATCATTTATATTATTTTCTCATCTTTTAAATATGTAATTCTTTATCTTGCCAACACTTTGAAAGTTTGAAACTAGTAAAGCTATAAGAGCAGCAGCCATTTCATTTCCTCGAACCCAAACAGACGGCTCAAAACGTTGTGGGCTAAGGCCCACTTCCAATTGGGCTACTTGAGAGATATTCCTACCGAACACAACTTGGACTTATTTACGCAAACGACCCCTCTTTCTTTAATGGGAAAAAAATAGGTAAATTACAGGTAAAATTACAATCTATCTTTTAAAAGTTTATAATTATAATAATTTCTCAAATTTAATACAATAATCTAATGCACGAGATACATTAATTAGATGCGTGAGATGAATTTTATACATGATACACTAATCTGATGTGCAAGATAAAACATTAATGTAATGCACGAAAATGAAGATTTTTTAAAATTTGTAAAACTTATAGGAAATAATGTTAATATGTAAACTAAAAGGTGGGATTTCAGTAATTAAAATATGTTTGAGCCACCAATAAGATTGTCTCTATTTTAAAAAATGTGACACTCTAGAGATATTAGGCTCGGCTCTAGTACTTTTATATTTCTCAATGTCACAAACAAAATTTAAAATGTGCAACGTTTTCTTGTTATTATTATTATTATTATTATTAGCCTAAATAGTTCATAAGTTTCCGATACATCTTAGTTACGATGGAACCCGTTCAATCATATACTGCATCCATCAATGTATAATAATAATAATATATAGAAGAGAAAGTGTGATTTTCTTGTCAACTAACATATTTTTATAGTGACTGGTACTCTCCCCTTTTAATTGTTAGCTATTTTTTGTCACTAAGGCAACTCCATAATCAATTCTCCTTTAATTTCCCCATCTTTAAGTACAACCTCAAACAAAAAGTTAAGTCAAAATTAGATGAAAAACTCCTTTCCCATCCCTTTTAGTTTTAGAGGGGGAAAAAAAAAATATGTGAAAGGAATATTAACAAAGAAAATGAGGGGAAGTATTTGGTCAGTTTGATGGGAGAACGTGGAGTCCTCTTTCTATCCCACAAAGAAAACATATATAACTAACTGAATAAACAAATAAAAAGAGAAAAGTAATGTCATTTTAGTAATAGCTAATTTGAAAAATTCAATGGAAACTCAATTATCATGTTTCGTTTTTTCCTCCAAGTTCATTGCCGGTGGCTGCAATATATTGGAACTAACTCAAACTTTTTTTTTTGTCTTGTGGAAGGAATATTTCAAGTTCTAAATGGTATGTTAGTTACTCATTAGGAGTTTATATATAATAATAGTAATAATATATACGGTGGAGTAGGTGAAACTTTCGAAATTCAAGAATCAAAATAAATCCCAATCGTTGCACCAAAATACTGTATATAAACATGTTTTTTTAGATGTGCATCTTTGGCACTTTGTTTACAAATATGGAGTCAGCGATAAAAAAGTTATTGAATTTTTGAAAAGTCACACCTAATAATTACCTAGAACCGTCCCTATTTTGTACTCTATATATGTTTTGATCTTTTGTTGTTGTAATTATTCGGAAACTTAGTCCTATAACCCCAAAACATCGGCTTTGTTCATGTATTTGGTTAAGTGGTTAGATATTGGTCAGCATAACAAACACAAGTCATAAAATTGATTACGGAAGAAACGGAAAAAAGTAGAAGAAAATATTAGACCAATATTTTGATCCAAAAAACTTCAAATTTGAATATATGTAAAATCATAATATATATCATATAGTACAAAATTTATTTTAAATCTGAAAAAAATAAAATAAAAGTTTAGTGGTAAAATCAGAAATTTTATTAAAGATATTCAAATATATGTGTGGAAAATAATTTTTGACCTATGTACTTTATATAATTTTTTTATATAATATAATTTTCCAATAAATAATGTTTAACTGACTATCCTGAACTACACGTTGAAATACTATTTTTTAGATAAATATTAAATGGATCAGAAAAGACCACATATATATTTGAAAAATAAATTAAAGACATTAAGAAACGGCCATAGCAAAAGGTAAAGACATGGACTTCCTCACAACTAATGCAGTAGCCAGCAGGTAGAGGCTCTAATTTAATTTCATATTAT